GAGGGAAGCTGATTGGCTCAATGGACATCGTCTTACACGCGTTTGTTGTCCTAAATATATTGAACCTCTAACACCCAAAGACTTCTGCTGTTGCACACTCCTTGTCGTGTTCTTCCTTTGGGAACTCACACAAGGCGTTATTGAGCGGGGATATCTCGATCTGGGCATCCTTTACAACATTGTTCACCGCTATCGCCTTGCGTAGTAGTAGCATACCGATGGATTAGCCGGAAAGGGTGAACCTCGTCTGTGCCACACTCTCGCAAACCTCTGTGATCATTTACAAATTAGGTGTGGACTGTAAAACCAGCCAGATCAGCACTGGTGTTGGACAACATACGTACAAGTAGCTAAACTTTTAGTTGACCCAATTGTGAAAAATGTTGCGGCGTCGGTGGGAGTCGAACCCGCATAGCAGGGAAGGCCTTTATGCAGCAAACCCTCTACCACTTGAGCTACGGCGCCGCGAGTTTTTTCACAATTGGGTCAACTAAAATTAAGCAAATCTGCCAAAACCCCCCAAAAAGTTAGTTTAAATTCATTTCCTTCGGCATCACTCCTACTTAAGTGCAACTAGAAAGCCAAACCATTATGTTTCATAATACTGGACCATTTGTGTTTTAGTAGACACTTAAGAGATAACGAAGCAAGCCTATTATGACAACACAAACTTGCCAGTTGGAAATGAAAAAATGGCGTGCAACTCAAAAAAATGAACACCGGGTCAAGTCAGTGCTCCGATTCGCTAGTGGGAGCTTCTGATAAATGAGCATGTCCAGGTTTCTTGTACATGACTTTGGTCTAAAAATGCGTGCAAGCACCAAAACGCAGGATGAGATCATTTTGTGTGTGTCTACTCCATTAATGGCTGAGGAATTATCAAACAATCGGTTTGCTTGGAGTAGATGACAGAAGTTCTCAAAAACTTCATTTAAACGGTACAGATCTGCAGGAAAGACAGCTAAGTTTACAGCACACAAAGAGCTCTTACCGGCTGAACGACTTTTCCGGATCTCACAGAACAAAACATCCGTAGTATACACACATATTTTACTTAGCTGCATACTCGATAAGCCACCGTTCTTGTACGTCGCTTGAGACATGAGCCTTGAAAAAAACGTCAGCAAGCCCTGTTCGCTAGCTTTGTAACGCACCAGACGCGTTAGTCAATTCTGCGTATTGTCGGTCCTTTTGCTATTCTATTTGCCTTTGTGTTCTGGTCGGTCTTCCGTTTTTTCTGATTGCTGGTGGTCTGATTGGACGACTCTCGTCCCTAGTAAGCTATTTTATTAGTACCTTCAGAGTTGTCACACGCATTTCCTTCTTCGGCAGGCTGCACCTTTGCGCTGCTCTCTACATCCTTTTTGTCCCTTAGCCGCCTCCCATGGCAATATAAGTAACTATCTGCATCTAAACTCCTCCCTCACTACTACAAGCAGCCAAATGTTTGGGTCGGGTTCAGTACTCTCAAAACTCTTCACAGGCCTGTGTGGACCCAGCATAATGTTACCTCTCTGGCTGTGCTCTGAGGCAGTCCCGCAGATGCCTAAAATTAATTGACATATCCGAATAAACATACTTCATTAGTCGATTATACGGTTTCGTAATCGCTGCATAAAGAGGTCAGACACAGAGAAATAACGTACTTTCCCTACTGAAAGTTTACATTGGACACGGGTGGGCCTCCAGTCTTGACCGGCCAATAGCAACCTAAGGATAAACAGTTGTAACATGTAACTAAATCAGCTGATTATAACTTCCTAGGTGTATGCCAAGTGCGAATATTTTCCAACTACAATTCCTTACCAGGAGATACAACCCTGTCTTCCGGCAAGACGTATGATTCTGCATATGTTAGCGAATGCGGTGAGGCGGCCGAGGGATGAAATGAAAGTAAGACCGTCGTTATTGACTACAGCAGATGTGCTATCTCCTGAAATGTTAACTCAAAGTCTGGAATACGTATTCAATTCTAAAAGAATACTTAAGTAGGTTTAATTATCCTGCAGTCAAAATCCGATATATTTTCAGTCAGACGTCAGGATGCCAGCTTTTGAACGACTTCCTTTCCGGCCATCCGCAAATACAACACCCTGTAAACAAAACATCCTGTAGTATGTACTTTTGGCAAGAATGATTATAGAGGCCGAAAAATCCCATCGACTTATAATAAAAAACTTCTTTCAAATATTCGGTAGCCTGACTTTACATTTTTTTGTTAAATTCCATCAATAGGAGGACGAATTTCCATTTTCGTTAATTTCCGCCTACGCAAGGTCAAATTTCCCTTGATTAGCTTTCGTACTCTACGCAATAGAGGTTTATGTTGATTGAATTTAATTCTATTTGACATATTAAAACGAACATAATCTTATTAAATTTAATATTTTTGATCAATTCCGCCACAATTACATATTAATTTACGCTCACTGGCCAAGAATTAAATGTTTAACCACAAAATACTTTAAGCAGTTGGGCGGGGAAATAGGTACCTAGTGAGCCCCACAAATCATTTTTGCCGCCCTTTTTCCCTATTGATTTCCCATTCATTGTTGTACTCCTGTGGTAGCAACTGACCCCTCCAAAGTTTACACTTGAACAAAGGGTAGTTTTCAATTCTAAAAACCGGGCCTGACATTACATCTGCGTCGAATCTTACAAACTACATGCTGTATGAAGAAAATCACAAATTTCCTTAGATTAGTAAGCCGAAGTCATATAGTGCTCAAACGATTTTGCAGTAGATGCGCCTCACGTTGTATACATTATAAACGGGGTTTCTAAATGATCAGATGGGACATTTCGCGATCTTCGACATTTTTAACAGCCTGTCAACAGGTGAGAATAAGCAGTAATGTTGTACAGCTGACTCTTCAATAAGGTCACCCATAACTCATCCGTTGGCGACGCATATCAGATTCAGCCATTAGGGCCAGAATGTGACAGATGGTACGTTCGGTAGACTACAACGGGGACAAACTGGTTCCCAACCTGCGATAAGCACGGAGTTTGCGCGAGTTCGTAGGAGAGAGAAGAATTAATGCGGCCTAGCTTGAGAGCACTTTCTGCATAGCAATACAGTGCATACTTTTCTTACTACAAAAACATCCGATGCGCCAGCATTCTGGCCTGAAGGGCTATCAACTGACGCGATAACTTACTCTTCCACTGGAAGTAAGCGTCAGGAAAAAAGGGGTGCCTACTGTGTGAGGTATTTATGACAGTTAACTTTGACGAAAGACACGAGATTTATTTTTACTTAAGTCAAAATGCCAATACAAGCGAATATCCAAGTCCCAGGAGATAATTGAGAAGAAGATGACTTGATCGCTGAGACAGTACTTTTATTCGCTTGACGTCGCAGACTCGTCATCAGAGACATAATGGGAGAGCAGTAGCAGACAGGGGTAGCGTATGCACAGGAGTTTGCAGTATTCATAGTATACGGTCATTACTGCAAACGTACAACGACAATGAACGGTAATTGCTTTCGTGCGTGCTGGTGGTTTGTTGAACAGCATGCGGGATCTGGCCTGCTGAACTTTCATCACACATGGTGGACTCGGGCGTGATGATTGCTCGGCCATCTGGCCCTCTGGTGTTGGCGTAGGATGACGTGGTGAACTGTCCGTTCCTCAAGTGGCGACTTGCTTTACCCAAAGTGAGTCTCGGCATCGAATATGAATTGGACAAATCGTTGTACTTGTTCATGGATTGGGGGACCGTGGACCAGGAATACTGCAAACTCCTGTGCATACGCTACCCGTATCTGCTACTGCTCTCTGATTGTCTCTGATGACGAATGTGCGACGGATCTCGAAACGTCAGGCGAACAATGGTATTGTCCCAGCGATCGAGTCTTCTTCTTCTTAAGTCAAACTATTGCATGTGCACGGACCACAACCCGCACGGGACGTGCAGACTTAAATTCAGTCTCGTCAGTCATTGTGTGAACTCACATGTCTAGCCGTGTAGCTTCTGTCTTGATATTTGAGTAAGGTGGACAGGATGTGCGAGATTCCGTCAGCATAGTTACAGGTATATCATTCTGCACCCCCGGGACAGTGATGGCTCTTGTGAATTGTTGCCAACGAAATCTTCCATGTCTCTTCAGAGCTGACAAACCAAGCACAAAGGGTACACATGCTACCTGTCAGGTCTGCTGGATGTGCACTCATCCGTGGGCCAAAACATGACGAGGCAGGCAGGCACGCACAAATAGGCGCAGTTGGCGTGAGAGGCCGAAGAGAGCAGGCGGGTATGAACAAGCTCTAAGTAGTCACTTACCATCACCGAAGCAGAAGACAAGACCGAGGACCATAAAGACAGGGTGATAGTTGAATACAATTTCCGGCTGCGACCAGTCAAAGCCGCCAGCGTAAAGACCCATCCAAACGATAGAGAGGACGACAGCCAAAAGGCCGGCAATCTGGACAGGAATAGGGAGGCAAGGAACAGGCAGCATACCTGAACCACTACAACGAGGGGTACGAAGGCCTTGTGCCTTTGCTCGGGGGCGTCCGGTGGTTGGTCGAGCGAATCGTAAGCGCGAAGGTTGGTGTTCGGCATTGTCTGTTGCTTAATTGGAGGAAGGTAAAAATACATATATACATAAAAATCTAACAGCGAAAAATGCTAGAATACTGAGGTTACGAAAAGTAAGAGGTAACTGATTACACCAGAGGAGGAGAAGAGGTCATCGAAACTGAAATATGCGCACCGTCATTGTCTAGCAAGAAACTTAAGCTACACGAACTTGCACAGTTCTTCTTTGTTTTCTCGAACAAATTGTCACAAACCCCAACTGTGTGACGTGAGGACAGTGAATAAGTTTACTTGCAACTACAGCCTTAAGATTATGTTTTTGAGTCACAGTTGTAGTGGAGAAAACCTCAAACAGATAAAACAAATGGCTGCTCGGGATCCGCCTGTTAACAAAAATCCCAAGAAATCTCATCAAATTTCGGATTCAAGTATTATGATCTATGCTGGACCGAAATATGACTTTATAAATGTGTCTGTTGCTTTCGTTTATGCAACTGCATAAGCTGCTGACAATGCGACAGATAAATCTCCTACTTGCAGCTGAAAGAGGTAGTTAGAGGGTTTCGTCTCGGCTATCTTTTGGTCGTTGCCGGGGCTAGATCCACGAACCTTTAAACGGTTAGCTTACTGGCTGTCTTTGATTCGCTTCTGAATGTGACACTGGTTTAAGCGTTAAGCTTGATTGATAAAGAGCGACTACTTGTCACATGCGTGTACTTCCAACATTGTCACAAACATCTGCTGACTTGGTATTTAAAAAACAATCATATAAACGGTTATATCGACTATAATCTAGGTGGTTGAGGGTCCCGCAACTGGGTTCATAAAAGC